AACGCCGTTTTGTGTTACCCCGTCACGGTGCGCTTCACGGTGTGAGGCTGGTCCGGGCGGCGCGGCGGCGGGACCCGCGGGACACACCGGAAGGCGCAGGGGAGAGACGAGTGCGCGAAGTTAGCAGAGAAAACAGCTGGACGCGCAAAAATGTCAGAGGCAAAAAGAGTTTGTCGCCGCGACTCACCGCGAAAGCCACCCCGACCGACAAGGCCCTTCTGCTCCGCGCGCCGAGGAGCGTTTTACCTCATCGCGCAAAGAGCGGCGGGCGGGACGGACGACAGGGAGAGCAGCGTCCTGATTGAAATGCCGTCGCGGCGGCGGCAGCGGCCCGCAGGACGGACAGGGCCGCCTCCGAACCGCCTCCAAGGGATGATGCTCTTTCCGGACGTGCGCGGCGAGCGTGATTATACAGATTGCACCGCGACACCCCCCGCCCCCTCCTCCCCCTTTTCCCCGGGACACCCCCGCCGCCCTCACCGCGCCACGCCCCTGCGCGCGAGCGTCAAGGAGATATTGCATTGTAGTAGTGCCGAGTAGTGCGTGCCCAGAGGCTTACGCCCAGCGCGGGGGCGGGGGCGAGGGCGGTGCTCGCAGCTGCCACCCGAGTGTTCGAGACAGGGGTGGTGGGTGGTGGTGGTGGTGCTCCACAGGAAAGCGACCGATGCTGTAAGTAATAATTTCGTGAGACGCTCCACACCACATTGCAATGCCGTTTTGCCATAAAGGCACTAGTGAGCTTTTTGTAGTTCGCGGCAGGTACGTCCCTGCTGCCCTCATGGGGGTTTCCTCTCTGAAAACCCCCCAACTTGTTGCCCCAGCGCGTTAATAATCCCGGCGGATGGCCCACCTCACCCCTCTTTTCCTTGTTTTTGTGGTAAAAAGTGTGTGGAAAACCCAGTCAGTTTTTTTTCGGCGATGGGTACGTGCGTGTTTAAATGGGGCGAAACAATTGCGTGGTACACTTGTGACATCGCTCATGGTGCAGATTCAGTACATAATCACTTTCGTTCGGAGGTCGTGGATCTAGTATGTACTGCACGGATTGACGGTGCGGCGTCGGGGCGTGGGTGGGGGTGGGGTAGTGTGGGGGTGAACGAACACCGATTCAAACAGCATGGACCGTTCCCGCTCCCCACTACTGGTAATGGCAGGTGTCCTGCATGCTGGCGCTATTGTCTAGCGCCACTAAGCTTCTTCAGCTCTACGCGAGCCTAGCAAGCACTCCACGAGCGCCTAGAACTGTGCGTGTGCGTGCGCGCTCAGGGAGAGAGAGAGGGGGGGGGGGGAGCCCCACTAGGTCCGCCATTAGATGCACCACTAGCAGCCCCTCGACGGGGCGGTGAGAGCATTTACGCCCTTGTCAGTGGGGCACTGATAAGCCTCCGCAATGAGCAAAAGGAGACGGCAAAAGCGAAGGGAGAGCTCCCCGCTCTGCGAATGCATTTCCCCCTGCAAAGAGCAGAGAAAAAGAAAAAGAAATAGGGCCGTTGCCGTGCGGATCACCTGGGGCAGCCAAGTGTGGCCGTCTCCTCTCCACGACCTCTCTCCTTCGAAATACAGCGGGGAGGTGTAATCTAGCGGGAGCCCGGCGAGCGGAGCAGAGGACGTGGTGCCGATGACAACCAGCAAAAGGATGTGCGGGCGGGGAAAGGGGTGGGGA